CTCTCTCTCTCTCTCTCTCTCTCTCTCTCTCTCTCTCTCTCTCTCTCTCTCTCTCTCTCTCTCTCACACACACACACACACACACACACACTCCCCGAAGCCATTCTCCGCGTCTTCCTCTCCGGCCTGGAACAAACGTCAGTGTTTCAAGCCGCTGATGGATGGATCGCATGGCCGACATGTGGGGATGATAGTATTTGAACGAGTCGGTAACCTTACACCAATACCCGGCATGTCGAGCCCTCGTGTCCAGTAATCCATCATTCTTCCTTCCTGTGCATCCCAAATTCACGATCCTTGAAACATGAGAGCCGGGCACATTGACAAACCCATCCGCCTCCCTTAGATAAACTGTTAGGTAGTAGGAGCATCGCGCCACGCACGGTCTGTTGATGCGAATCTCATCACAAGGGATTGGCATAAGGAAGAGACACAAGGGGAAACACAGAGAAACAATGGGAAGCACGGTGAAACACGGTGAAACAAAGAGCGGGAACAAAGGGGAAAACAGCGTGGAAGGAGCGAGAGCTCCTCTTTTAAGGAAGGAAACCCAGAGAACACTGTGGCGACTGAGGCAAAAAAAAAAAAAAAAAAAAAAGGGACCACAACGGTCACATTATTTGAAACGAGGGAAGCAAAGGGGTCGAAGCAAGTCGGAAAAAAAGGGAGAGGAAGAGCAGGAGAGCACTCATGGGAAGGTAGGAGCATCTGCCCCGCCCATTTACATCTGCGCTTTTTCAGGACAGCTCAAGGAGAAGGAAGAAACAAAGCAAAACGGGGAGAGCGGGCAAGGAAGAAGGAGAAATCAATCAAGGTGTGATTATATATTCGCTCTCGCACCTGTACAAGACCTCGAAACTTAACCCGCCCGCATTATGGCTGTAAATCTGTTGGATCGCGTCGTCCAACTTCTTCCACGAGTTCTCCGCGTAGTGGGGGTCCGCCTCTACTCGATGCCGGAACGGGTCCATCTTCAGTGTTTGCCGTTTATTCTGAGGTCGACTCATCTTGTCCCCTCTCCCTTCCTTCACTACAAAAGAATTTTTATCCTCCGAAACCGAAGAAAACGAGAAAAACCCTAATTCACCACAAATCCTCAAATCTTCACTTCACCGATGCCGGCCCTCACAGCTTTGATCAGAACACGGTATCCGCTTCACCGACCCTTTTCCATCTCTCTCTCTCTCTCTCTCTCTCTCTCTCTCTCTCTCTCTCTCTCTCTCTCTCTCTCTCTCTCTCTCTGCGCTTCTCTCTACCCTCTTACACCTAGTCCTCTAAATCTCTTCGACAGATTGATTGGTTGATGGGGTCTCTCTCTCTCTCTCTCTCTCTCTCTCTCTCTCTCTACCCTCTTACACCTAGTCCTCTGAATCTCTGAGACATTGGTTGGTTGATCGGTAGAGGGAGGGACAGATACGGAATTTCTGGGGTGTTCTCAGTGGTTTATACCGTCCCCTTCCCCGCGCACCCGTTCTGGTTCCGGAATCTCGCCGGTTGATTAGGTCGTTTTCGGCTTGATTGACTGGAAACAGACTCGAACTGCGACGTCGGCTGGCTCGTTGCACTTCCACTTGTACCTAGCTAACGTAACATAGACGATGATTAAAGCACCACCTCCTCCTCCTGCGTTGGATGCGCTTTGGCAGCAATTTAGCACTACAGCCAGTCGTCGTTGAGCCGATCAATCATCACGACTTCATTCTCTGCCCTTGCCTACGATTCACAAGAGCCGACAAAGGCACCACCGATGACAATCCATGTCTTCATATCCTGATCCTCCAGTCAATCTAACGCCAGGTCAGTCGCCACGTCAGCAGCTTCCCTACCGCTCCGATCTCAATAACGCCCCCCCCCTGCGTGCTTCATACCCACTTATCGCCCGCTGCCATCATCTGCCCTCCATCTCTACTTCACACAGGCTATCTCCTGCCGACACGTGGCCTCGGTAAAGTGAAGAAGACCTCACCGTGCCCGAAACACATCGCCTGGGCTTGCAGACAGAACAACGTACGAGAGGGGGAACGAGACAAGGAACCAAAGAAAGGCGGGAAGGAAAGGAGGGAGAGAGGGGAACACAGAGGAAACGGACACCAGAGAGAGAGAGAGAGAGGACGGGCGCACAATGAGCGGCAGACAGGCAGGCAGGCAGACAGAGAGATCAGCAGGAAATCGCAGTCGTGATAGAGACAGAAGAGAAGACAGCGCAAAGCAGACGTACACAGAGGAACGAGCGAAAGCGATGCAGAGAAAACGCGTACAGACGGGCAGAGAGAGAAAGAGAGGAAGTCAAGTTCAGATCGTCTCCCCCATGCCTACCAGGACACGGAATTCCTAAGGTGGGAGGAGAGGAGAGAGCAAAGCGAGAGGCAGGAGGGATTAAGCCCAAAAGATGAAGCCACGGAGCAGACGATGGAGGAGGAGGTACGTTCGTCCTTTAAGCAATGTGTGCAAGTCCCGTGCACGCCAGCACACACAGCGGATATGATATGGGCTAACTGGGCAGTGAGAGAAGGTCGAACGAGGAGATGTAAATGACAGAGAGAGAAACAACTGCCAACTGCCGACCGAAGACTACAGAGGGGACACCCTTGCCCACTCAAGCCGCCGCTTTTTCATCAACCAGCGTCGCGATGCCCTTCTCCAATCTCGCAAACACCATCCTTCTGGCAATTCTCTCCATTTTCTCACTCTCATAGACATTGCAAGAGGTCGGCGGATCTAGCGTCAGTTTCCCCAGCCCATCGCCTCCACGATCGTCATAGCCTTAGCCGATAGCTCGACGAAGGCGGGCTGCCTATTTTCTCAGGAAAGGGCGGGGAGGAGGGAGGAAGGAGGAGGGGAAGGGGGAGGGGGGAGGGGGAGGAATAGCAACGGCCCGACGGCCGGCGAGCCGAGGCCAAAGCGAAACCGTGCGAAGGAGCGGGGGCACTGACACCGTCGAAAACCACAACGATAATTTTGCCAGTTCCCCGCGCTTATTCGTTTCGTAAATTTCCCGTCGATTTCCCGCTCTTCCTTCCTCTCTCCCGCCAACTGAGTCGATTTCCTCCTCGGTCGTTTCTCTCTCTTTCCCGCCAACTGCCGTATGAGGCGCTCCAACCTCCGCTCCCACTCAGCGATGCGACTCCAGACGCCGACCGAGTTAAGTCCACCCCCCCCCCCGCTCCTCACAATTCACAGAACCGAGAGAAGACCTGCGCGGGCTCGCGTATCAGCGCCACCAGTGCGATCATAGGTCGGCGCACGGCCAACATGCATATGCGCCAGCAGGGTAAGAAACAGCAGACAGAAGCTCACAAGAGTTGCCACGTGTCCTCCTCGCCTTTGTACCCTCATCTGGAGCTGAAATCTGTTCTCCCGCCCAATGAATGAACCGAAAATACTGACGACAAGGAAAAACCGTCGCCCCTAATTATTATTAACGCCTATTGCCTAAGGCAAGGAATGTGTCGTCGAACGCGCGCATTACGCGGCACCGAATTTTTAGTAGTGATTAACTGTCTACGTGGCGGGGATATGCAAAGGTACTCAGAAGGCCTCCGACAGAATTGGAATTGCAGGGAGTGGCGTTGATGGAATGGAAAGCGGTTTTCAGGTACTCGTACACCCCCCACCCCCCTGCGTGTAATGGTATGGAATGGATGACGAGAGGGGAATAGAAGCCCCGAGCTGTGATAGCGAAGGGAGGTGATGAGAGGGACGGTTTAGAGAAAAGAGTGTGTTGGGCACGGTATACGGAGGAGAGGAACACACTGAGGACTCCGACTATCTTAGTTCGTTTATCAAGACATTGGGGCTCGCTGCACTACTCTCGACATGCCACAAAAGACAAAAATCATGGCCGTGCATCTTTCCATATTCTAGCGGAAGATTCACTCTCATTTTGCACATTTCGAGAGTAGTGCAGCGAGGCCCATTCACTCATCATCGCATCATCGACCTTTTCTCGTTCACAAAAAACTGGGAAAGGGCGAAAGACAGGATGAGCCCTTTACAACGGAAAGGACAAAATTAGCCAGTCGGAAAATGCAACGGGGTGTCTATCTATGCAGCGGGGGTGCAGATCACGCACTTGGGCACCCTCACTCGTAGGTCCACTCCAAGCGGACGGGCTACTCTTCTGGTTTCGTGCCCAAGTGCGTGATCCTGGGCGTAGATCCAGTTGGGCTTCAATGTATACATTCAAGTATACAAATAGCCCTGTCCGAGTAGACAAGGTTTCTCAGATATTTTTGGTCCTGTCCCAAAGGAGTCTGGTGAGACCGACTGGTAAGTTGGGGCCAGGGCTCGCTGTGGTAAGGGAGCATGCACCTGGTCTCTATCCCCTCCAGGCTCAGGATGATTTTTATTTTTTATATCTTTTGGGAATCTGAGGATCATTTTGCTTTCCAAGGCCGACCGTGGGGCTGGCCCTCCTCAATTAAACGGTCGAAGGCTCGACTCTTCCTGCCGTCCAGCCTGCCGGGACATTCGCAGCCCTACTGCGTCTGTTTGTGTCTGTCCGCTAGGTTCGCTTTTTTTCTTTCAGGCTACCAATGGGACCAGGGGTTCGTGGAGTGGTTCTTGTGGTAGGACAGGTTGGTTGCGTACGTCTTTTTTTGTGCCTGGGACCTCTGTATTTGGAGGACGACTGGTTCAGTATTCATATTGTCTAATTGGCACGGGTGCCCAGCCCGTGGTTTGTTTGTTGATGTGGTTGGGGAGGTAAGGAAGTGATTATGCTGTGTTTATGTTTTCATGTTCCCTATACACAACTCCAAGAGTGTGTGGGGGTGGGGGGTCCCGGCTGGTGCTTTATTTACTATGTTCATGGGATGCTGGCCCCGGTTTCCAGCAGGTGCTGCTCCCCACCAATAGACAGGAGTATTCTGCTGCAAGTCCACTATAGGGGGATGCTCATATCACCTCCTCCAGTGGGCTGAAGCGGAACTTTTTTTTTTTTGGGGGGGGGGGGAAGTGTGTGTGTGTGTGTTCACGTATGTATGTGAGAGTGATATATATATATATATATATATATATATATATATATATAACCGACAGTCTGTCGAGTTTTCCATCTGGTGTGGGTGAGTGATAGTCTACTTTGATTTTGGTTAAACCACCAGTACTTGGGCACTGCGCGCCGCGCCAGCCGCCCAAATCTCGAAACAGCGCGGGCTGTCGATTCGATTTATCGACGGCCCGACGGCCGCGGAAATCGCGTAGCGTTAACGCTAAGGCGTCGCCCAAGTACTGGTGGTTTAAGGTAGATTATCATTTACAGTGTAATCAGTGAGGGGATTCTGCAGACTGTCGAGGGTTCAGCCTCCTGATGAGTCGGTGAAACTCCGACGAAACAGTTTGTCACAGCCCCTCGTTTGTTGTCCTCTTCTCTCTCTCTGCCTACGGTTTACCGGGCAGTTATGTTTGTGACGATATATGTGTGTGTGTGTGAGAGAGAGAGAGAGACCTGCAGCATGCAGCATGTCGGTGGTGGGGAGCACAAGGGAAGGCGCTAGCCTCGGAAAAAAAAGAAAAGGTCATGTTCTATTCAAATACTGTGACGCCCAACCTCACGCCGCGACTTCCTGATCGGAGTGGGGTGTGGGCCTGGAAGTGCGAAAAGGGGTGTGCCAAGGATTTTTGGGAAAGTGCGGGTGGAGTCCCAGGTTAGAACTGAGATCTCATGTGGCAGGGTTTTTCGGGGGCACGGGTGAAATTTGGCAGAGAGGGCGGACCGCCTCCGGTCACAAGGCAGATGGCATGCACGGGTCATTCATGGCCGTTCGATCCGTCGGTTTTGATGACGGCGGTTCGTCGAGAGGTCCATCCGGGGTGGGTGTGGTTCTGATGAGTCAGGCCGTCTGATGTCGCCACGTGGCGCCGATCGTCGTACATTCGGGTTAGGCCTTCGGGCTTCCGGGGCTCTCTGGTTGCCGCGTCGCCGGCAATTTCCGCAGGGCGTGCGGGGCCATTATGGGGCTATGACTTTCCACGGACGACTCTGAGTTAATGATACGGGAGAAGAAGACGGAAGGGAGGGAAATTGGTGGAGATAACGACAAAACCGGGGGAAATGAAGTAGTGTGTGTGGTCCGAAGTGGGGAAATCGGAGCACTGTGGATCGCTGGTTGTGGCACAGTGGAACTCCCTAGGACATAGTCGGTTCTCGGTTAGGCAGGGGAACCTCTGTCGGAAGCACTCCTCAATCCAATGGGTGAAGTATTCCGGCTCGTACCACAAATCTGAGCTCCCGGAGCGTGTCATTATGTCATCGTAGAGCCCCGGAATTCCTAAGGGCGTGTTTTCGTCGATTGCGATCACCGCATGTGAGTACGTGTAGACTGCGCGAATCAAGTCGCGCTTACACGTGTTCACACAAAATGATTGCTTCGTTGCCGACGCAGGATGGCCACATCCAATCAGGCAATATCTCCCCAATTGTTAGTTTTTTTATGTGTGGTTGGTTGTGAATCGACGTGCAGGGACACGTGTAAGTGCGTAGATCAGATCGCACTTACACACGTCCCTGCGAGGCGTTCGCTGGTTTTGGGGCAAACAACTACCCGATCATCTAATCACTCTATAATTTTTGAGCATGCAAGATGCAACAATCGCAACAGTTCAATCAATGGGTAAACAAGAACGGAAACAGTATTGATAACTATGCAAAATTCTTACCCTACTCGTGAGTGCATCAAGACGATAAGCAAAGGCAAAGATCCGACATAAGGAAAGCAAACAGACACGACATTCATTCATGCAGCGTAACACACAACATCAGAGATTGAAATCGCAAAAACGAGTGTGGGCGAAAGAAAACCAAGCCAGAATTCCGAAAACAAAATCGGACAAATCGCCCTGATCCGATATCAAAATTTATATACATCAACAGAGAGGGAGAAAAGACAAAAGAACAACAAATCCTTGTCCATCAACCTCAGCTTCCTCTTTCTCTCTCTCCGATGCAGACAGTCCGTCGTCACACACCAACCCACGAAGTCATCACCCCGCTTAGTCCTCCCTCACCCGTCAGATTCGCCCACGCCCACAGTCCGTCGTGGTCCTCGTCAACCCCGCACGTTTGGCACCAGCTCGTCGGGTCGCCCGACTCCCACTTCAACTCACCTCTTACTCCGCTTGTGAGCCGACCCTCACTGATCGCGCTACCCCGAGCTTCCACTTAGCTGGTTAAGAGAGCTAACTAATCGTGCAGCCGGAATTTATAGCATGCATGCATGCGCGAAGAACACAAAATTACAAGTACTTGGAAAGGAAGATCAGGAGAGGGAATGCCTACGTTTTGCATGGCCAGACCGAGGCGTGGGGGACGTAGCCGCTCTTCACGCATCGATCCGATCATGCAGACTGCGGCTACCAAGGCGTAGCAAAAAGGAAGAAGGGCGGGAAAGACGAAGCACAAGAAGAAAGATATAGTTACAATGGCACCCGCCCAAAATTACAGTTGCACACACGATTAAAGGCGCCGACTAATCAGAGTTCCGTTGCAGCCGCATGAAGAAGCGTGTAAGCGCTGCGCGGCAAAAGAGAATCCTAATTGCAAAAATTCCTAAATTCCTATCTAATACAAAAAAGGCGAAAAGCACAAGTTTCGAAAGAAAAGTCCGAAATTCCGAGAGCCATCAGGGCTCGACAAGATTCGAAAAAGAATTCAAAAAAAAATAAAAATAATAACGAAGCAAAATTCTCGCGCGATGTCTGCGCCAAAAAATCAAAAATCAAAACAAAAAAAAGCG